AAAAGCATTATTTAGCATCCCCAGGAAATTTACCACCTTTAAGTGGTAGATAAAGTAAAAGAACCTTCAATTTCTTTTTCTATGTTTTGCTATATGTATAATGGATGTTAGTCTGAACTTTTCAGTGGTTATCACATGGTCTGACTCTGGTGTATGACAGGACAGACCATATGCTCCTCTTAGGCTGCCCACAGATTTATAGAAAAATAAGTAACTGCTTAACTAGTTCTTTAAATTGAAAGGTACGTGGACTGGAGAGAGATGGTACAGCTAGTAAGGTGCTTGCCTTACATGTGACTGACCTGGGTTTTATGCCCAGCATCACATATGGTCCCAGCAAGCACCACCAGGAGTGATCCCTGAGCACAGAGCTGGGAGTAAGCCCTGAGCTACGGAGTGTGGCCCCAAGCTCTAAATAAATAAAAATTGAAAGTTATGCATTCAGGCATTAAAACATAATATAAAATTTCATGTAGGAAAAAATGCCTGACTTAGGCTTCTCATATTTCTCAACCCATATACTATTAATATTTTTGTGTCTTCTTTGTGATTATGTATGTATGAAGGTACGTAAGGTAAAGGTAAAGGTAAAGGCCCTCCCGTTGATCGTCGATTTCCTCGAGCGGGCCCAGTAACGTCTCCATTGGAGACTTTGTTGTTACTGTGTCTGGCATATCGAATACTCTCGGTAGCTTGCCGGGCTCTCCGAGAGGGGCGGAGGAATCGAACTCGGGTCGGCCATGTTGGCCGCTTGTAAGGCAAACGCCCTACCCGCTGTGCGAAGGTACGTATGTTGGCTTTTTCCCCCTCTTTTGAAAAAATATATAAGTTTCGGGTCGGTGGTTCCTAGGCAGAGTACAGGGGCTTTTGGGGCCACTCCTGGGAATACTGCCCACCTGTGCCAGACTGCTCAGTGCTAAGGTTTGGCATTGTGGCTCTAGCCTGGTGGCACTTGGATCTACCAGGGCTACCCCAGCAGTTCTCAGGGGGCCTCTGAACTACACCTGGCAGTACTAGGGGTAGGTGGTACTAGACTTGGATTCTTGGACATACGGCTCTTATATTCCAGCCACCTGAGCTATCTCCCCAGCTCCCTCTCTCTCTGGAGTGTGGTTTGGGCCACATCCTGAAGTACTGAGACCTGTTCCTAGCTCTTGACTTTTGGCTGTAGTGACCCCAGGCAGTGTTCAGAGAAATAATTATCTGAAGTGCTGGGGATCAAATCAGGCCTGCAAGGGTGTTTTATCTCCTGGTACTATCTCTGTTTCTTTTTTGTTTTGTTTTTGGGCCATACCCCGTTGTGCTCAGGGTTCAGGCCTGGCTCTGCGCTCAGGGATCATTCTTGGCAGGCATTTGGGATCATCTGGTTGGTGCCTTGGGGATCAAATCTGTGCTGTCTGTGTATTGTACTATCTCTCGCCCACTGTCTGTTTCTTTTTAACACAAATGGAAATGTGCTATAGTGAACTTTCTTTTACTTACATATGCATAAATAACTAAGGTAAATTTCTGTGTTTGACAATATCTATCAAAAGGAAAAATGCAGGGGCTGGAGCAATAGCACAGTGGGTAGGGCATTTGCCTTGCACCTGGCCAACCTGGGTTCGATTCCCAGCATCCCATATGATCCCCCGAGCACTGCCAGGAGTAATTCCTGAGTGCACAAGCCAGGAGTAACCCCTGTGCAATGCCGGGTGTGACACACACACACACACACAAAAGTAAAAATGCAAATTGGCATTTGGATGAGCTAGAAGTATAGTTATATAATTGAGAAGGGGCGGGAAAGGGTGTGAGGTATTAAATTTGAATACTTTCCAGTGGTTTTCAGCAGCATGTTTTGGTGCAATTATGGTTTTTAGGAGGCTAAGTAGATTGCTCTATATTACATTCCTGCCTTTGCCCTCCCCCAGTTTTAGTTGTCTTCGTTACATTCCTGCCTGGGAAGTGTTCCCAGTGACCTGGGTTAGGAATTGAGATCATGGGAATCCAGGATTTTCCCATGTCTTCAAGCATGTTTGTTCACAGCACGGGAATTTTATTTATTTATTTACTTATTTAGCCTCCTCTTTGTTGATGACTAGGGGCTGTACACACACATGAGGTTGTGGTGCTCACACACTTGGCCTTTGGGACTCCTTGGGGGTCACATGCTTTAGTTGTGACCCCCAAGGTGCTTGCTGGGGACTGCACATTTTCACTGTGGCTTTTGGACACATTGCTCTCCAGGGGTCACATTCATTAAGTTTTGGTGCCTGTGTACTTTCTGGTTGAAGTGCTGGCCCTGATCTGTGATGCTCACACACTTGATCTTTTAGAGCGGGAGTACAAGCACTCCTGACTGCAGTGCTTGTACATTTTTCAGTTACAGCACTTGTTGGGGTTCAGTACTTTGCTTGTAGTACTTACATATGCTTACCTTATACCACGTGCACGCTCTCTTGTGGCTCGGGGGTCCCGTTCAGCAGAGCCTCTGGTATTGTGCTTGGCAAGTGTGGGGGTACCAGGGAGAAAACTTGAGGTTCCATGCTTATAAACAGGCACTTCTTACCATTGATCCATTGTTCTAGGCCTCCAACAAGGAAATTTAAATCATTAGTTGCTGGGAAATCTTTCATTAAAGATTTTGAGTAGAAGTGTGGTGAGGGAAAGGACAAGAATCAGTAGATGAAAAAGCAGTGTTAATACCACTTGAAATACCTCTTCCTTTTTGTTTATGAGAAGCAGATAGAGGTAGGTAGACTTGTGTGTTGTTATATACATTGAATGAGTGTCAGAGATAAGTCAAGAATTTTGGACTTTTGGGGCTGGAGTGATAACACAGCGGGTAGGGCGTTTGCCTTGCACGCGGCTGACCCGGGTTCAATTCCCCGCATCCCATATGGTCCCCTGAGCACTGCCAGGAGAAATTTCTGAGTGCAGAGCCAGGAGTAACCCCTGAGCATTGCCGGGTGTGACCCAAAAAGCTTTTTTTTTTTAAAAAAAAGAATTTTGGACTTTTTAGCTGGGTTTATTTTTGGCTATAAGTGACAGAAAAATGTGACTAATGACTTAAAAAAGAAAATTATTATCACATGAAACATTTGCAGATAGGTTGTTAATTTTTAATCATTTAAAAATCAAAAAATTAATCATTAATGTTTGATGATGTCAGATATAACATCTTATTTTCTTGATGATCCACTTATTTATATACAATTAGTGCTAAAGCTCTGCTGTTACGTCTACCTTCAACGAAAGGCAAATAGACAAGGGAGAGGGGCAGGAGCAAGGGCAATAACTATCAAGAAAGTAAGAGTTTTTCCTGTGAATTTCTTAGTGGGTTCCTATTTCATTCTTTTTTGTTTTTGTTTTCACCTACTTCATTCTTATTGTCCAGAACTGCCTGTGATTCCTCCAAACTTAGAGAGTTTCCATCCAGGAGACTTCCTCAATAATGGCTGTCCTGGAGTATACATGTGAATCATGTTCTGTAAAGCTCTTGAGCCACGTTCTAACCCCATTTTATGAACTTTGCTAGGACATATTCTTTTGCTTAGGATGGTGTTTTAAATTTTAGGGTTTTTTTTGTCAAGTTGGTTCTTTGTTTTTTTGGGCCACAATCTGGTTGTGCTCAGGGCTTTCTCCTGACTCTGCACTTAGGACTCACTCCTGGTAGGCTCGGGGGACCATATGGGATGCCAGGCATCAAACTTGGGGCCTTATACATGCAAACACCTTACCACTCTCTTATTTCTCCAGCTCCTAAATTTAAGGAAATATTTTTCTTTTGTTTTTTTGGATGATACCTGGTGGTGCTCAGAACTTACTCCTGGCTCTGCACTCAGGTATCAGTCTGGCAAGGCTCGGGGGTCATGAGATGCTGAAGATTAAACCCATGTCGATTGCACTCAAGGGGAGCACCCTACTCACTTTGCTATCGTTCTGGCCCCTCAGTTTAAGTATTTTAATTGAATTTTTGGTGGTAAGCTGTCCAACAGTAGGCCTCATAGACCTGATGACTGGTCTTGGTGATGTTTGGCCTGGCATTGTGCACCACCCAGTAGTATTAGGGGCCAGGTGGTAGTGGGGATCAAACTTGGGGGGGTCCCAAGCATGCAAGGTGTGTGCTCTACACCTTTGAGATATTTCCCCAGCTCTTAATACAAGAAAATATTTCTGAAGAATGAAAATCTTCAATTGGCAAAGTTACATTGAGCCTTTATACAAATTTCTAAACACCTGCTGGATGCAGTATCTAAATAAAGTTGTAAAACCATACTTCTCTTTAGGAACTTATAGTCTACAAAGAGTGATTTTCATATTTAAATAATAGAAAATTGGGGGTCAACAAAGCATGATGGTTTGGAGAGCAATGATTATATAGAGAGAGGAAAATTGAAATAAAATACTAGGTAATTGAATTGGACTTTGATGAGTAAGATTTTGGTTGGTAGGGTAATAAAAGTTAATGGTATGTTTTAGAAATTGGATTTTTTTTTTTTTTTGGGTCACACCTGGCGATGCTCAGGGGTTACTTCTGGCTCTGCACTCAGGAATGACTCCTGTCGGTGCCCGGGGGACCATATGGGATGCTGGGAATTGAACCTGGGCCGGCCGCGTGCAAGGCAAACGCCCTACCCGCTGTGCTATCACTCCAGCCCCTAGAAATGGGGTTATTGAGGGCAGAACAAGCAAATTAGATGTGACTGAGACTAGAAATGAGAAAATAACAGATAAAGGGAGAATAAAAAATAATATAAAACACCCACCAGCACAATCAGTGACATAGTGAAGATACTCAATTAAACTTTGTAATTTTTTGATTCTAACTCAGAGTGTCTTCAAGTTACCAGAAAAGCAAAGTTAACTTTAGTTTGATTTGAAAAGTAAGTTTGTTATTGAGGTGAATTCTAGAAGTGCAAATGTGGTAGTAAAAGCAAAGTAATTGCTAGGGTGTTAATGTATCAGAGTATTGTAAAATAATTTTCTGGATAATTTCTTTCTTTAGAAGGCGACTTGTTTGGAAGAGTGACAACGAAAACTGGCAGAAACTTGTTCTGTGGGACAGTGGGAGACAATGTCGCAACTAAAAACCTCTTATTCCTATGATGCTCCCTCGGACTTCATTAATTTTACATCTTTGGTTGATGAAGAAGATACAGAAAACATAGATTCTTGGTTTGGTAAGTATCTGCTTTCTCTTCATTTTTAGGTTAGTGAAAAGAAATGGATGAACACAAAACTAAAATTTTTTTTTTTGTGCACCAAGATGCTTTCTTGTTTGTTTCATTTTGGGGCCACAGCTGGAGATGTTCATGAGAGTCTCCTGGCTTTGCACTCGGAAAATATTCCTGGTGGTGCTCATGGTTCCATATGGGATGCTGGAGACCAAACCTGGGGAGTTGGCTACATGCATGGCAAGCACCCTCCCTGCTGTACTATCCCACCCCCACACCAAGATGCTTTGTTATCATGGAAATGATGAACTTTTAGTAAAAATCAATATTATTTTTCTGTTGGGACATATTTCAGGCCAGTGAGATGGCTCAGAGAGCTGGAGGACATGCTTTGCATGCAGAATCTCTGGATTCATCCTGGGTGCCACATGGTCTCCTGATTGAACACCCTGAAAATAATCCCAGAGTATGGAGCCAAGAGTAATTTCCTGAGCATTGCAAGGTGTGGCCCCAAAACAGAAAAAAAAGCGGGGACAAAGGGGGCTGGAGCGATAGCACAGTGGGTAGGGTGTTTGTCTTGCACACGGCCAACCCGGGTTTGATTCCCAGCATCCCATATGGTCCCCTGAGCACCGCCAGGAGTAATTCCTGAGTGCAGAGCCAGGAGTAACCCCTGAGCATCGCCAGATGTGACCCAAAAAGCAAAAGTAAATAAATAAAATAAACTGGGGACACGGGGGGAGGAGGGGAATAACAGATTAGTTTCGTGAAACTCTACACTCAAAACATGTCTGTGGTGGTAGCTGCCACATAAAATGTGCTCTGTTGCCATTGGGCACAGGTACAGTACAATATACAAATAGGGTCTTGGTGTTGAGACAGTCCTAGACTTTTTCAGGTGTCTTTAGGCTTTCTCTCTTCTAATTTTTGCTTAAGGATATTACATTCTATATAATTACTATCACCTGTGTAGTTTTGTTATAGCTACTACCACAGTCAAGATAGTTTTAAAATCACAAGAATCCTTGTATTGGCTTTTTGTTTGTTTTGGTTTTGGTCTACATTGACCATATTTGGGGCCTGTTCTTGGCTCGGTGCTTGGGAGTCACTTCTGGCAGTGCTTGGGATACCATGACGTGCCAGGAATTGAAACCAGGCCTCTTGCATGCAAAACAGGTGCTCTAGCCTATTGAGCTATCTCTTTGACACCCTCCCACTCCCTTCTTCAGTTCATTTTTAAGTGGAGGGATTATAGATCACTTTTCCAAATATAACCCAGTCCCCAGACAGAGCTAGGATGGACTGATGTTGGGTTGTGTGATATGACACAAACCATAATACTGGGCTAAGAATGAATAAGAATATGGTTTGGTTGTTTGTAATACTTTAGGATAATACTATAAAGTGAGATCAGTGCTAGCAAGGTAATAGTTGATGGAATATCTTCATTTTAGTTTTTTGTCTTTTTTTTTTTTTTAAATAATGTAGGAGTACTGCTGTTTGTTCAGCCATTGATTAAGCTGACTGAATTGGGCATGAACTCCACATTACTTTTTTTTTTAATTGTATCATTGTGAGATGAGTTAAAAAGCTTTCATATTTGAGACTCAGCCATACAATGATGGCACACCCTTGCACATTTGGATGGAACTCCCTCCACCATTGCACATTTTCTACCACCCGCATCCCAGTCCTCACCCTGCCTCTATGGCACAATTTCCCCAGTAGTCTCTCTCATTTTGAGCAGTATGTTTTGCTCGAAATTTCCTACCACCATTCAAGTCTACCTGCCAGGGGAAGACGCTAGATAACTTATTCTCCATTGCTCAATTTTAGTATCATGAGAGCTCGCACGACCACGATTGTAAATGTAAATTTCTAGATTGTAAATGATTTGGTTCCAGAGACATCTCTGTATGTATGGCACTAATACATTTTGGGATTCACTTGGGAGTCTCTGGGCCAGGGCGGTTGGTGCACTAAGATGGAGCCCAGAGGCAGATTGTGGGCGTGACAACCAGTCTGCTGGGCGGGCAGGGACCCAGGGAGGGACAGCCCAGGTCCTCTGCTGCCATTCAGCCTGGAGATTCAGTCCTGGAACCCGCATAATTGCTTGTGGAAGCTCTTGGTCACTGGGATTCCATCTGGAGTAGACGGGGAGACTGCACCTGCTCCATCTGGGGTACCCCGGTGAAATTGGCTCGGTATAGCTACTACCACAGTCAAGATAGTAGTTTTAAAATCACCTGGAGAGATCTCCGGTGCTGTGGTGTCTTCTGCGACTTGCTGCTGTGTCTCTGGGCCAGAACTGTTGGTGCACTACGATGGTGCCTGGAGGCAAATTGTGGGAGTGACAGCCAGTCTGCTGGGTGGGCGGGAACGTGGGAAGGGACAACCCAGGACAGCCCGTGTGGCCTGGAGATTCAGTCCTGGAACCCACATACTTGGGCCTTGCTTGTGGAAGCTTTTGGTCACCGGGATTCCATCTGTAGTAAGCAGGGAGACGGCACCTGCTTCATCTGGAGTGCCCTGATGAAATTGGCCCAGTATGGGGCCTCAGTTTCCTAAAATTTTGTTTTGTTTTGTTTTGGGGTCACACCTTTTGGTACGCAGGGCTTACTGCTGGCTCTGAGCTCAGGGAGCACTCCTAAGGTCTCAGGGGACCATATACATGCTCCTATATGTATATGTAGTGAGGAGTGAACTCAGGTCAGCTGTGTGCAAGGCAAGCACTCTACCCGCTGTTACTGCTCCAGCCCCTCAAATTCTTATCTTCTTTGTTAGGAGAACTCATAATAGGGGACAAAAATGAGTTAATTATAAGCTGCATTTGTCACTTATAATGCAGTGATGGCATGTATCATTTGCCTGGAAAAGGACTTAATGATATTCAGTGGGGATAGCTTCTCAGACCCTGAAAAGGGAGTGTCTTATTGGAAGCAGTGTGGTTGGAAGAATGGATAAGATGACCATCTGTGACTCAGCAGCCCTATTGGTTTATTCTCTCTCCCTGACCAACTCTCTCTTTCTCACATGTATGGTGCTGGGGATCAAACCCTGTACCTTACGGGTGCAAGGTAAGTGCTCTACCACTGAGATACAGCCGCCACTCAGAGTCTCTTTGTTTCTGTTTTACAAGTTCCTGAGGAATGGCTGTCAATTTTTTTTTTACAAGAAAGATGTTAGCTAATAACACTATCAAATATAATCTAAAGAATTAATTAAAAAAATCAGTTTAAAATTCCATTGTTTTCCAAAATTACCTAAGTTCTGTTAGTTTCTTTCTTCCAACTAATATTGCATTTAAAATTAAGCCTACTTTCTAAAAATGACCTTAATTCTAATATATTACTTTGTAATTTTCTTCTAAATAATCACTTTTAAAAAACATAGTTGCAGTCAGAGTATTACATTTATTTGTGAGGCTCACTGTATTCCTAAAGTTTCTATTAAAGTATGGGAAGAACAAAGCCTTGACTTCTTTGCACTGATATTTGGGTACAGCAAAATCTAAGATAAAATTCCTTATGAGAGATTAGCTCCATTCCAGCCTTACATATCTCAAATTTCCCAGAATTTAAGAAGTCCAACCATTATGTCTCTTGTAAGCCACACAGATCTCAGTGGTCATAGTGTTCTTTAAAATGAAAATGATGTATTAACGTGGGGCTAAAGCCAATTTATGGTTGGATAATCTTAAATGTGTTTAAGCAAAGATAAGGCGCTATTTGCATTGGAGAGCCTGCACTTCTTTTTTTCTCTAATACATTGTTCAGTATTGTCAGTATATTAGGTTTTTTTTTTTTTTTAAATTTCTGTCTCTGATATGTCATTTGTTTTTCTTTTACTTTGGATCACTTGAAGTTTGCCAAATGAGCTAGAAGGGGCTTACCACTGTCTTTTAAGTACATTTCTGATTTATTTTGCTTCCTTATTGAATGTGTGGATGAGAGTAATCTTATGTTTTCACAGATGAGAAGGCCAATTTGGAGAATAAGTTTCCGGGGAAGAATTGTCCAACAGGATTTCCTCAGAAAACTCCTTTGAGAAAGACTAATCTCCAGCAAGCTATTGTTACTCCTTTGAGAACAAGTAAGAAAGAGCATCTTTTAAAAATGCTCCCTGGGAGAATCATAGGACAGTGTATTAGGAGTTTGAGGGATCTGAGGAAATTACCTAAATGCTATATACCTTGATTTACCCCCTCATGTATTTAGGTCTGTTTTTTTTTTTTTTTTTTTGTATTTGTGGTAGTGGGATTTGGGCCATGCCTGGAAGTGGTCAGGGGATATTCCTGACTTCATGCTCAAGGGTCCCTTCTAGCAGTTTTGGGGAACCATATGCAATGCTGGATATTAAACCAGTGTCAGTTTCCTGTATTATCTCTGGCCTAACAACTTTTCTTTCGGATTTTTTTTTTGTTTTGTTTTTTTGTGGATATTTTGGGCCATACCCAGTGGACTACTACTGCTTCTGAACTTGACACTCCTGGTGGGGTTTGGGGAACCATATGTAGTGTCAGGGATATATGACTTTGGTAATATCAGAATTCTTTGCGATAAAATATCTCCTTTTTCCTATTGCAGTATACCTTTTCTTGAATGTTGTGTATCTTTTTTGTTTTGTTTTGTTTTTTGACTGGCAGTGTTCAGGGCTTGTTCCTGGCTCTGCACTCTGGAATCATCCCTGGCAGGGCTTGGGGGACCAAATGGAGTGCCAGGGATTGAACCTGGGGTTGGTCATGTGTAGGGCAAGCGTGTCCTACCTGCTGTACTGTCTCTTCAGCCCCCAAGTGTTGCATCCTTTTTTATTTTTATTTTTTTTATTTTTGGGTCATACCCGGAGATGCATAGGGGTTACTCCTGGCTTTTCACTCAGGAATTACTCCTGGTGGTGCTCAGGGGACCATATGGGATGCTGGGAATCGAACCCGGGTCAGCCGCATGCAAGGCAAATGCCCTACCTGCTGTGCTATCTCTCCAGCCCCTGCATTCTTTTTTAACATTTTTTATTTTGTTGTTGCAATTGTGGTGGGAACTCCGATAGCAATGCTCCAGAGCCATTAGAGCCTCACATTTGGAGGCTGGTACTTCACCTCTTGGCCAGCCTCTGTGGCGCTCCTGGTGGTGGTAGGGGCTGAGGGCATGTGGTGCAGGAGATGAAACCCAGTGCTTTGCATGTGTTAGTTTTGTGCTCAAGTTGAACCACATTTCCAGCTCCAGCTCATACTGTTTTATTTGTTTGCCACACCTGGCAGTGTTCAGGGGACTATGTAGTGCCAGTGAAACCTGGATCTCTAGGCTGCAAATCATTCTGTTTAGTCCTTTGATCCATTTCTCTGGTCTTCATACTATTTTAAACTGAACTGTTGGCATTATACACACTAATGTAATTATATCAGCACTATTTGCAGTTTGATTTACAAGTTCTGTTTGATTTCAGGCTAGTTAGTTTGATGCAGTTGCATTCCTTGATTCCTTAAATTCCACGTCCAACCCCTGGCCACATAAAGATGATTTGCTTTGCTTATTCAGGCCAAGTTTATTTCATCATCAATGTAGAATGATAGAAGAAAAAGACATTATTATTTTGGGTTCTGGGCCATACAGCTGTGTTCAGGGCTTACTCCTCGCTCTGCACTTAGGGATCACTCCTCAAGGCTTGGGGGACCATGTGGGGTTCTGGGGATCAAACTCAGGTCAGCTGTGTGGAAGGCAAGTGCCCTACCCCCGTACTATCACTCCGACCCCTATTATTAATATTTAGTGAAACAGGATGGTTTTTAATTGAACAAATTTACTTAGACATGACTAAGAGAAAGAGAGGAAATATGCTCAAGCGGGAACATGGGCTCCACGGTAGAAAAAAGCAGAAAGAGACAGACGAGCAAGTGATAAACATGTTCAGGGGAGAACTCCTGCTGAGAGATCAAGCCTATTATTGTTATTGTTGCTATTATTTGGCTTTTGGGCCACACCTAGTATTGCTCAGGGGTTACTTCTGGCTCTGCACTGAGGAATCACTCTTGGCGGTGCTCAAGGGACCATATGGGATGCTGGGGAATCGAAACTAGGTCGGTCACGTGCCAGGCAAGTGTTGTATCTGCTGTACTATTGCTCTGGCCCCAGATTTTTAATGATACTGTATTGCTGATGAGGGATTAATTGCTTATCACATTAGTTGATTCTTAGGTGTTTCTATTTATCTTTAGAAACTTACAGAATTTAAAAAAATTTTTTTTTAATTAGTGAAACACCATGAGGTACAGTTATAGACTTAAAAATTTTTGTGCTTGGGTTTCAGTTATACAATGATCAAGTACCCATCCCTCTACCAGCGCCCATCCTCCACCACCACGGGTCCCAGCATCCCTCCCACCCCTCATCCCCCCCATCCCACCCTGCCTCTGTGGCAGGGCATTCCCCCTTGTTCTCTCTCTCTTCTTTTGGGTCCTGTGTTTTGCAAGGAAACTTCCAGAATTCTATCTCTGTTTATCTTCGGATATGATATGAGGATGTGTTTGGGATGCTTTATTCCTAAGGTGATATCTTGATACTTCGTTTCTGCTTCAACTAAAGAACCTTTTTACAAATTGGCCTTCTCCTTAAGATTTCTCTGCAACTAAGTTCTGTTGCTGAGGGTAATTTTTCAACCTGGGATACTGTATTAAGGGGTGTGTGTGTGTGTGTGTGTGTGTGTGTGTGTGTGTGTGTGTGTGTGTATGCACGCGTGCTTTTTCTAATTCATTCACTTGACATATTTATTTATTTATGGCTTTTTGGGTCACACCCAGCAATGCTAAGGGATTACTGCTGGCTTTGCACTCAGGAATCACTCCTGGCGGTGCTTGGGGGACCATATGAGATGCCAGGGATCGAACCCAGGTCAGCTGTGTGCAGGGCAAACGCCCTACGTGCTCTGGCCCCCTCGCTTGGCATTTTAATGCTGACTAGTACATGTTCTTTTGCAGTTGACAATACTTACAAAGAGACTGAAAAAGAAAATCTGGTGGAACAGTCCATTTCATTAAATTCTCGTTCTTTCCCAGAAGTCAAGGGAACTAAGACTAGAAGTACTCCAAACCAACCTCAGAGGTAAGACTTTCAGGGCTTGAATGTGGAGGTTAGATGAATAATACTTAAAGAATGGTTACTTGACAGAGCACTATTATGTATAAGATTCTGTGTAAGACTGTGTTCTCTTATTTGATAGTTATAATGTGAGTTTTAGGTAATAAGCTGAAATTTTTATGTAAGGACTAAGGGGTACTAAATTGCTCATTCAAGGTAAGTTTTATTTCAGAGCTATGATTCACCCAATCGATTCGATTTCAAAACTTTGCTTTGTCTACCATTAACATGTTTACAATTTTACATTTACTTTAACAGTTTTTCATAGATCAGTCTTAACTGTTGTATGTTTTAAAAATTGGAATTGGGGCTGGAGTGATAGCACAGCGGGTAGGGCGTTTGCCTTGCGTGCAACTGACCCGGGTTCGATTCCCAGCATCCCATATGGTCCCCTGAGCACCGCCAGGACTAATTTCTGAGTGCGTGAACCAGAAGTAATCCCTGTGCATCACCAGATGTGACGCAAGAAAAAAGAAAAAAATTGGAATTGTCTATAATGTTCTTTTATATCTCATTATTCATTCTCCAGTAGAGCTATATTTGAGTTGTTTCCATTTTTGGACCATTATGATTAAAGCTGATATGAATACATGCCTGTAGGTCTTTGTGAGGGCAAGAGTTTATCCTGATAGAATTACTAGGCCATCTTGTTAAGTGTGTCTTCATAAGAAGCAGCCAGAATATTTTCCAAAGTGACTACCACTTTCTATTCCCACTAGCGCTATATGAGAGTTCAAGTTGCTTCACATCCTAGTTAACCCCTTGGTATTCTCAGTCTCTTTAATTGTAGTTTATTTATTTTTACTTTTTGGGTCACATCCAATGATGCTCAGGGGTTATTCCTGGCTCTGCACTCAGGAATTACTCCTGGCGGTGCTTGGGGGACCATATGGGATGCCGGGGATCGAACCCAGGTCGGCCGCATGCAAGGCAAACGCCCTACCCGCTACGCTATCACTCCAGCCCCAATGATAGTTTATTATATTTTATTTACATACTTATTTAGGCTTTTGGGCTCCGCCTGGCTGTGTGGTCTGGAGTTGCTCCCAGCAGTGCTTGGGGATCCTATGGTTCTGGGGATGAGATTTACCTGCTTGTAAAGCATGTACTCAGCGCATTGAACTTTCTCTAACCCTTAGTTATGTTTATTATTGGGGTGGGGGGTTGGTTGGTCCACATCTGGAGGTGCTTGCCAACTCCTGGCTCTGTACTCTAGGATCTTTCCTGGCTATGATGTGTGACTTCATAGGTGATGTGTGACATACAACTAGGGTTGGTTGTATGCAAGGCTAATGAGTGCCTTACCCCCTGTACCATCTCTGGTCCCCCATAATTCCTTTTATTTTGAGAAAGGGGGATTGGACTTATCCATCTGTGCTCAGGGATTACTTCTGAGTCCAGGGGGTTGGTCAGGGGGTACAAGACAAGTACATTATACACTGTACTATCTTTCAGCCCTGTGTTGAAACATTTTGAAACAGAAAGAGCACCCTATCGGTTCATTGTATAATTCTTTTTTTTTTTCCTTTTTGGGTCACACCCAACGTTGCACAGGGGTTACGCCTGGCTCCTGCACTCAGGAATTACTCCTGGTGGTACTTGGGGGACCATATGGGATGCTGGGAATCGAACCCAAGTTGGCCGCGTGCAAGGCAAACACCCTACCCACTGTGCTATCGCTCCAGCTCCTCATTATATAATTGTTTACTTTTAAATACTTAAAAAATTTTCATAATGAAGATTTGAAAATTAGGTACTCTGAGTCAAAGCAAAGACACTTTTATATACAGAGGCCGGAGCGATAGTGCAGTGTGTCGGGCATTTGCTTGCACACAGTCAGTCCAGGTTTGACCCCTGACACCCCAAACACTTGCCCGAGCACCACCAGGAATGATCCCTGAGCAGAGCCAGGATTAAGCTCTGAGCACAGCCAGGTATGGCCCAGAAACAAAACAGAGAACCCAAACAAACAAAAATATTGGTAACACTACATCATGTTAATGGATTGGGATACCCAATATTATAATTAATTAAGTTCTCCTTAATTAATCTATGGATTCAGTATTTTAAGGGGTTTTTATTTTGAGGTACTAAGTTGATGCTAAAATATAAACAAATGCTAAATTTTGAGAATGGTTAAAATTTTTTGTTTTGTTTTTTTGGGGGCTACATGTCTTCGATCCATTATTAGACTTTTTGACATATGTAATTTAATTATAGTTTCATGTTTCTTAGAACATTTTCCTGTCTGTAGTAGATACATTTGTCACAGATAAATTTTGTCAATTCCTCTATCATAGAAGATCTATTAGACTCTCTGCTCAGAAGAATTTGGAGCAGAAAGAAAAGCAAGATGTTAAAATGAAAGCCAAGAGATGTGCTACTCCTGTAATCCATGAAATTCCACCCTCCAAGAAAATGAGAGTGTAAGTAGCTCCAGCTTTTGTCAGTGGGCATAGGTTTAACCCATTGATATAGTGTTTAATAGCAAACAGAATACATGATGTTTGTTTTGATTTTTATTAGTTAGGGATTTTTTTTTTTTTTTGCTTGAATAGCCTATTCAGCCAGAGGTTTAGAAAATAGTGATTTATTTGCTTCGCAGAATTCTAAAAGTCTTTTCCCTTGGTTCCAAGTTTGAATAATGCCAGAACAGTATCTCTGAGTCTTTTTCTTGTGGGAGGGGGTAAAGGGTTTAGGCCACATTCAGTGATACTCAGAGCTTAATCCTGACAATGAGCTCAGGAGTCACTTTTGGCAGTGATTAGGGATCACTCCTTGTAGGGCTCATGGGGACCGTATGTGGTGCTGGGAATTGAACATGGGTTGGCTGTGTGCAAGGCAAATGCTCTATTTGCTGGACTACTTTTCCAGCCCAGAAATGAGAAAATTTTATTTTTTACTTTTTTAGTAAAACAAAGTTGTTTGTATTAAAATTTATTTAGAAAGATGTGAGGATAGGGAAAGGGATAGAAAACAGGCTTCTCCAGAGTGGAAATGAGCAAAGAAGCAAGCAGACAAGCAAGATATGTGTTCAAGGGTTTGAAGAGCAAGCTAGAAATGAGGAAATTTTCGTGCCATGAATGGTAGGAGGTTTGTGTAGAAACCTCATTTAGGGAATAGAGAAAATACTTTTTTGTTCTTTTGAATTTAAGTTCTAATAGCAAAAAGAAGCCAGAGGAAGAGGAAGAAGGCAGTGCTCAACAAGAAAAGAATGAGTCTTCCCCAGACAAAGCGAAGGGCAGACATAATGTGCCAGGAAGGTATGTTTTCTCTTCTAAATTTATTTTTCCCCCCTGAATTTAAATGAGAACCAGTAGAGTAAAATTGCAAATAGTACATCTGAAGTCACTATGGTGCATGTGGAATTTGCCAAAGTCCTAAAGTTGTAACTCTCAAAAGGTGAAATCTTTCTTAGTAGGTATTCCTCTTAAAGTCTTGAAAAAAATTTATTTTCAAAGCAAATGTAAAGAATAAGAGAAAAAAAGTCTGTGAAATTTAATACCTAAACATTTTAATTATGACAAGCTCCCTTCTGGTCTTAATCTGAGTAAATAGGTTTTTATTTGTTTGTTTTGTTTGGGGGCCAGATTCAGTGATGCTCAGGGTTTACTCCTGGCTTCATGCTCAAGCATCACGACTGGTGGGGCTCAGGAACCATATAGAGTGTGGGGACCATGTAGGGCGTGGAGGATCCAACCTGGGGCAGCTCCATGCAAGGCAAGTGCCCTACCCATTCTACTATTGCTCCAGTACCTTTTTGTTTTGTTTTGTTTTGTTCTAATTGTTTGTTTGTTTTCAGACGAAAACAATCTATAAAGTGCCATTAGATTATTTTGAATCATTGATCCCCTTTCTTTTCTCCTATCTCCTGTATTATTTTGCCCTTCAGGCAGAAAATTCTAAAAAGTACTGAGGAGCAAGAGTTGGAGAAGAGAATGAAGATGCAGCAGGAGGTGATGGAGATGCGGAAAAAGAATGAAGAATTCAAGAAAATTGCTCTTGCGGGAACAGGTTAGCTTGGTTCTAGTTGAATCTAATTTATGAGGAGGTGGTTCTCAGTGTTGGTGTTTTTTGTTTTTTTTTTCTTAAGTTTCTGAAGAAAAAAGTATTTTGGTCAATAGCATAAGATGTTTATTTTGAAGGACTATGGGTTTTTTGGATATGGATTTCATTATAGTCCCGTGATCACTCTCCGGTTCGTTTTACATATCCAACTTCTTTCTTTCAGCATCTCTAGCTATAGATGTCATTCCTTTTTTTTTGTTTTTTAAAGTGGTGCTGGGGATTGAACCCAGAGACTTACATATTCAAGGCAAGTGTTCTACTGCTTAATTAATTAATAAACATGCTTAATTAACCCTTTTTCTATCTTTTGAAGCCCATTTCCATGAAAATTTCTCTCATTTTAAAGTAGAATTGTTCCTTTCCCCTCCAAATTATTTTTCTTTGTATTAGAAAAAGAAGGAACTGGGATTGAAATAAAAGAGCAGGGGCCAGAGAAATAGAACAGCAGGTAAGGTGCTTGCCTTGCATGTAGCCAGCCTGGGTTCGATGCCTGGCATTCCCAAGCACCACCAGGAATAATTTCTGAGTGCACAGCCAGGAGTAACCCCTGAGCATCACTGGTGTGGCCAAAAATTCACGGTCATGGTCACAGTCCTCCCATTATTCATCGATTTGCTTGAGTGGGCCCAGTAACGTCTCCATCATGAGATTTGTTGTTATTGTGTTTTGGCATATTGAATATGTCACAGGTAGCTTGCCAGGCTTTGCCTTGCGGGCGAGATACTCTCAGTAGCTTGCTGGGCTCTCCAAGAGGGGTGGAGGAATCAACTCAGGTCACCATGTTGGCCGCTTGCAAGGTAAACGCCCTACCCGCTGTGCTATCGCTTCAGCCCTGCCAAAAATTTAAAAAGTTTAAAAAAAAGAAAAAGCAATTGGCAAGTTAGGTTGTTTATTTATTTTTCTGATTTATCCCAGGCAGAGGAAAAGGGTTATAAGTTACATCTAGTTGTAGCCATGGAGAAACAGTATGACTAAGGGAGCTGAAAGAGTCTACATTGTGCTTTGCTCTGCATCAAATAGTTATTGGTGGAATCATAGCCATAATGTCCAGTAGTAGTATGTTGAAAAAAATATCCATGAAGTTTATAGGGTTTTTCCTCTTAGAGATGCTTTAAAAATCAGATACTGAACTCTTATGAAAAGTATCCCAGTTATTCTCTGTCTTCAGAAAATCATCACACCTGAGAGATGAGGTGCTCTAATCCTTTGAACAGTGCATCTGACACCACAGGTGTCAGATGGTCTGACAGTGCATGTGCTCCTTTTGATAGTGCATCTGATGGAAGGGCCTGGCCTCTGACTCAGCATTTCTTAGTAAATAAGACTATTATCCCAAGGGTTGTTTAAAGTATTAGGTTTTTTTGTAGAAAGTGAATTGAAGGAGACTGTGCGCTGTTCTCTTCCGGGAGCTGGGTTTTATAGTCTCTGAGTCTTGGCCGTTGATGGGATTACATGGCGCCAGGGGGCCAGTTGGTGGGTGTGACCCCGGCCTACTGGAATTTGGAAGATCTGGGTGGAGGATGCTCAGCCCCGATCCGAGTAGACTGGGAGATCTCAGTCCCGGGACCCGCATGCCTTTGTTCCTCTGCCGGTACCTTCATGTGTGCGGAGAGTGGTCTCAGTATGGTGGTGGCAGGTTCTGGAGGTCTTCGGCTGCCAGAGCCCTGGTCAGGGCGGGGAGGAGAACTCAACCTGCTCCCCTCCAAGGGGCCCCGGCGAGGACAGCCAGGCGAGGGGCCAGGAGACTCTGCGGGGCCCCTTGGAGGGTAGCGGGTTGAGTTCTCCTCCCCGCCCCGACCAGGTCTCTGGCAGCCGAAGACCTCCAGAACCTGCCACCACCATACTGAGACCACTCTCCGCACACATGAAGGTACCGGCAGAGGAACAAAGACATGCGGGTCCCGGGACTGAGATCTCCTAGCCTACGCGGATCGGGGCTGAGCATCCTCCACCCAGATCCTCCAAATTCCAGTAGGCCGGGGTCACACCCACCAACTGGCCCCCTGGCGCCATGTAATCCCATCAACGGCCAAGACTCAGAGACTATAAAACCCAGCTCCCGGAAGCGCGCGGCCACATTCGCAGCCAAGCGACATCTTATTATCTCAGTCCTACTTTGGACAAACTGGCATGCTACCGAATATACCTGCCCACACATAACCTGCCCACAAGGCAGAGTCTGGCAAACTCCCCATGGCGTACCCAATATGCCAAATACCAGTAACAATGATGGGTCTCATTCTCCTAACTTTGAAAGAGCCTTGAATATGGCACTTTTTAAAAAAATCTCAGGGCTAGGACGAAGGAGACGTTACTGGGGCCTGCTCGAGGCAATCGACGATTAACAAGATGGTCTTGATCGGTTGTGATTGTGAATTGAAGTTATATGATCCATGGTTATAAACGTATCAATAGGAGTGGAATAAAAAGGTCATACTGTTTCCTATTTTCAGTGTTACCTATGTGTTTACTTTGCTTCTCACCCAGGACATTCCTTGAAGAAGTCAGTGAGCCAAGTAACCAAAGTAGTAGACTTCCATTTTCGCACAGATGAGCGAATTAAACAGCGCCCCAAGAACCAGGAAGAATATAAGGAAATAAACTTTACATCGGAGCTACGAAAGCATCCTTCGTCTCCTGTAAGCTTATGGATTGAATGAATATTCCTGTTACTAATTCGATTAGGATTTTAGATGTAGTATTCTGATCTGATATAATTGAGAGAAGTATATTTTGACTTAAAATAGATCTGTGTCTGGACTAGAGAGATTGTACAGGGGTTAAGTGCTTGCCTTGCGTGTAACTTACCCAGGTTTGATCCCCAGGACTGCATCCCTCCTGATCACTGTAGTGTGGTCCCCACCAGACACACAGCTCCTGAGCAATCCAGAGAGTGGCTTGACAGCCAAACAATAAAGATCCTCGGTTTGCATTTGCTTTGTGACCTTTGGTAAATTTCTGTATCTTTCTGGGAACCCATCTTACCAAGTTGTTGTAAAACTGAGTTTGAAATGTGCATAAAACACATAGAATTATGTGTGTTTAATTATAGGTACACACTACAGTTTATAAAAGTTAATGTTATTCTTGATGATATCTTGTGTCTGTAAAGATGGTACAAAATAAAATATACTTTATAGGGAAAATGAGGTTGGGACAGACTACTCAAATCCCATGTAGAGGCAGAACATTAACAAAAATTCTAGTACTCTACTTGCATTATCATTATTTACTGAAGTCAACTCTCTCTCTCTCTCTCTCTCTCTCTCTCTCTCTCTCTCTCTCTGTTTCTTCTTTGTGGTTTTTGGGCCATACCTGGTGGTGCTCAGGGCTTACTCCTGACTAGTCCCTCAGGAATCACTCCTGGTGTTGCTTAGGGAACCATATACACTGCTGCAGATGGAGTTGGCTGCATGTAGGGCAAGCACTTTCTCGACTTATTTTTTCCCCCTCCCTCCTATCCCCTAGGGCAAGCACTTTAATCCCTGTACTCTCACCTCTTAAGTTTTAAATCCAAGGTGGTCTTTAAAATTTTGGTTTTTTTTTTTTTTTTGAGGGGTAGGTCCTCGAAGAGCTTTGTTTCTGGTCAGAGACTACTTTCATAAAAATTAATGATTCAGGGAGTAGGCTTCTTCATCAGTTTGGGGAAATAGGTGGAGAGATTATCATTTGGAAGCTACTTTACTGATCCAGACCCAGAAGCCCAATCAAAAAAGACTGGGGAGGGCAGGTAATTCAGTAAACTAGAGTACATGGCTTATTCACTGAGATCAAAGTTAGATCCCCAGCACCATATGACCCCTCAAATACCATGGCATATAGTTCTGGTAGCCCTCAAGTGTTGCCAGATATAGCTTTGATGGCTCCTGAAACCAGAGGGGTGGCCTTAGAGTAACACAGCATCACTGTGCGAAGCACCTAACCAGTTGTTGTGTTTGGACCAGTAGGCCATGTATTGCCAGGAAAGTGGCCCCTGAGCCCACTGAGGAGGCCCCACTAGCTCCCTCCTCTAGAAAAAATTAAAGGACTTTTTAAAAAATGGAATTGGGGATGAGATGCTTGTTGCAACTTTCCCTACCCCTCCTTTAAATCTAATAAATCTTGTTCTTGATGATTTCAAAATAAAGATATTCTGGGGCCAGAAATAGAGTACAGCAGATAAGACACTTCCTAGCACACAGACCACTTGGTGGGTTCTAGCTCAGCTCTGCTTATGGTCCCTGATCCCTGCCTGAGCCTGAAGTGAACAGTGAGCTCTGAGATGAGTGGCGCTCCCAAACCAAAGCAAACATTAATGTGAAAAGCCATCTTAATTGATTTTGCATGACTTCTTAAGTGCTACATCTTTTTTCCTCTTTTCTTTTTACTATAAGGTAAAGGTAAAGGCCCTCCCGTTGATCGTCGATTTGCTCGAGCGGGCCCAGTAACGTCTCCATTGGAGACTTTGTTGTTACTGTGTCTGGCATATCGAATACTCTCGGTAGCTTGCCGGGCTCTCCGAATTCCTTCTTTTTACTATACTGCCAGAAATTGAACCCTGGGCCTTATACATGCAAGATGCATGCAAAATGAGCACTTAACACTGAGCCTCATCCTTGTCCCCTTTTCTTCTGCTTTTGAAAGATGGGGTTGTGAATGTGACTCAATGTCTTGTGTGAGACCTGAGTTCCGTTCCTGGCACTTCCACTCCCTCATCCCCTACAAAGAATTGGGGAGAAGTTGGATATAATCTTTCTTCAAGGAATGAAAAAGCTTTACATAGACTCTTTTGATCTTTCGTGCTGAGTATGTGGCTATGCTAGATCTGAACTCTTTCATAGTACTTCATTTGGTGAACAATTTCTTCACAGGCTCAAGTATCCAGAGGATGCACCATAATTAAGCCTTTCAACCTGTCCCATGGAAAGAAAAGAACATTTGATGAAACAGCTTCTACATATGTGCCCCTTGCACAGCAGGTTGAAGCCTTCTGTAAAGGAACCATTAACAGATACCACTTAAGGAGCAAAAAGGAAGATATTGGTAAGTTTGAGATCAATATAATAGCTGTCTGGAGACACCCCTGGAATTCTCTTTCACTATGTATCATACACAAATTTTCCTGTAATTGAAATCCTGCCTTTTGAAATTAACCATGGCATGTACTTATATGCGAACAATATAGTTTTTCTGAACCACCCAGCTCTCTGTGCATTTAGATGCATCAATCGTCTTCCCTGCTGGTCAATAATTGGCTATAGGGAATCAAAGTAACCCAAGATATCCTTATGTAATAAGAAAATCTTGGGCTTGTGTCAATGTTTAATTCTTTTAATTATCCATAAATGATATGGGGCCGGAGCAATAGTACACCGGTACATGGCTGACCTGGGTTTGATCCCCGGCTTCTCTTACAGTACCTTGAGCCTGCCAGAAGTGATCCCTGTGCACAGAGCCAGGAATAAACCCTGAGTACAGCCAAGTGTGGCCCAAAAACCAAAAGAAATAAAAAGAAGGCATTTTACATTCAAGGTTTTATGCTTTTTCTCCCCCCCCCCCCCCAATGACTGAACCCACTGTCTGGTCCCAGAAGTCTGATGTTTTTCTAAAAATTAGGTTTGGAAAAAACGTTTGGTTTCTATCTCCCACTCTTGTAACTTAGAGAACTTATTCTATGTAATTAATAAACTTTTGAATTTGCCTAGCCAGGAAAATTCCTGACCAACTGTAATTATCTTGATATTTATGCTTTGGTGTGTGGTGTTTTTTTTTTTGTTTGTTTGTTTTCTATTAGTATACTTTTGTATTTGATTTGATTTTTTGAGAGATTTGCTTGATAATTTGATAGAATGCTTTTAGGGAATTCCTAAAGTTGAGAATTAGTGCTTGGTCTTTAGAAAGGTTTTATTCATAATCTCTGTGTATTTGTTTATTTATGGTTTTGTAGCCATATCCCACACCACTAAGGGATTGCTCCCAACTTGATGCTCCCAACTTGATGCTATTCACTGTCGTGTAGGGGATCCAGTCTGGCCTCCTGCATGAAAACCATGTGCTCTAGCGTTTGAGTGATCGCTCTTGCTAGCCCCAAGAAGAAATTTTGAAGCTGGAATAAGCAAGCCTTATTTTTTAAGAAAGTTGGCATTTCCAATAGAAAGAAAATAGGGGCTATGATAAAGAGTTCGTCAGATACAAATAGGTTTTGCTTTCAGTAGGTAGAGTTTATTAAAGTCTACCTTCATCGCACTCCTTATTGCCTGGTTGGGAAAAGGGGACTGAATGCTTGCTTCTCAGGCTGGCAGCTGATCTGAGCTGAGTGTGGTAGGCCAGCCATTCTGTGGTTTGGCATCTCTGCACTGATTCGTGAGGTTTTTGTGAACAAGGTGAATACCTATAGTCTTGGTTTGTAGTTCTGTTGCCTTCTAAACCTGCTGTGGCCAAGATCTCCAGAGACCCACAGACCCCCGTACTGCAAACTAAACATCGTGCAAGGCCTGTGACCTACAAAAGCGCAGCAGATCAGGAGGCTGAGGAACTTGAGAAACTACAACAGTAAGTCCCCACTGTTATTATTTGAGGAAGAACCTATATTCTTTTTAGTTTTATAAGAGGGAGTTGCTAAGGGATTAATGGCACCGAATAGCTATAGACTCAAAGCCGTGTCCTGGCCTCTGTATATGGAAATGGCCTACTGCGTAAACTGATGGAAAACTAATGCAGAAGTGGAGGAATTTATGATTCTATTGAAGGGGTGTCCTCTGAAGTTTGTTTAGGAGATTCCACCCATTTATAGATACCCAGAGGATGTAGTTTGTGTTTGGTTTATTTATTTGGTTGGTTATTTTTTAGGCCACATACAGCAGTGTTCAGTGGCTACTCCCAGCATTGTGTTTGGGAGTCACTCCAGGTATCGCATCCAGGTCTCCTGTGGGCAAAGCATGCACCTAGCACATTGAGCTCTCCTTGTTTTGTTTTAAAAAATGTTTTTTAATAGTTTAGGTAACATGGTTACAATTGTATTAACGTTTTTTGATTTTGGTGTCCAAAGTTAATGCATCTTCACCAACACCAGAGCGCTCATGTCCTTTCTAGTCTAGTTGTGAATTGCTCTGGGCTTTCTCTTCAATGCTCTTCTATTCCTTTTTCTGTCCTTTTGAAAAGGGAACTTCCTTTGTGAGAGAATTGTTCTTTTTTAAAGTGATGGAAATGTTAGGTCTATTGTTTATTCTTTGCTCTGGAAACAGAGATAAGTTCATAGCTATGGTAAGAGCTGAAATGTTGTTTTGGGAATTTTCTGATCGGTAACCAATGATTATTATACTTTTGTTTTTGACCTACTTTGTTGTTGATTGATTTTCAGTAAAAAAAAAATGTTGTTGTTATTTGAACTCACAGATATAAATTCAAAGCACGGGAACTTGATCCCAGGATTCTTGAAAGTGGGCCCATCTTGCCTAAAAAGCCACCGGTGAAACCACCCACCCAGCCTATTGGCTTTGATTTAGAAATTGAGAAAAGAATCCAGGAACGAGAGTCAAAGAAGAAATCAGAGGATGAACATTTTGAATTTCATTCCAGACCATGCCCCTCTAAGATCTTGGAAGATGTTGTGGTAAGAACAGTTGATGTGTGCTGTAACACTGCATCATCAAATATCCACTGGTCACAAATGTTGGGGTAGACAGACACTGTAAGGCATCATATTAGGAGCTGTAGGTAATAAAGAGACATAATAGGTGAATTTTGCTGCCAGGACCCTGTAATCTAGTAAAGAAAACAGCATTATCTAGAAACTATAAAATGTTCTGAGGTTCATGGTTAAAAGTACTTTAAAGGCAATCTAGATCTGTAGTACAGCGGGTAGGGCGTTTGCCTTGCACGTGGCCGCCCTGGGTTCGATCCCCAGCATCCCATATGGTCCCCAGAGCACTGCCAGGAGTGATTACTGAGTGCAGAGCCAGGAGTAACCCCTGTGTATCACCAGGTGTGACCCAAAAAGCAAGAAAAACAGTACTTTAAAGGAGGTAATGATTTTTCCCAGTTGCAGGTGCCCTTTCGCTAGAACCTTAGTTTCTGGCCCTGTGCCTGCGGATTGGTGACTCAACACCCATAGACAAAAATTAGTAGAGTGAGTACTTTCCAACCAAGTAAAATAAAACTTGAATACAGACAAATGAACAAACCAATCAGGGAATGCGAGCCGGAGCAATAGCACAGCGGGTAGGGCGTTTGCCTTGCATGCAGCCGACCTGGGTTCTATCCCCGGCATCCCATATGGTCCCCCGAGCACCGCCAGGAGTGATTCCTGAGTATAGAGCCAGGAATAACCCCTGAGCATCGCTGGGTATACTCAAAAAGCAAGAAAAAAAAAAACAGGGAATGCTTGATGGAAGAGGAAACATTTGATCCTCCCAAGGTGTAGTGAAATTGTCATGATAATAGCTGAGATTTAATAAGTGCCTAACCCTTTTCTGTTAATTTGCTTGTTAATATTTATTTTTCGGTGGTGCCAGGACTTGAACCCAAGGCTTTTACACATGCAAGGAAAGGACTGTACCACTGAACAACATCCCAGGCACTATGGCTCATTGATTTTGACCATAATCCTTCAGGTGGTCACTTTCATTATCAGACGATTTCTAGGAGGCAAATGAGGCACAGATGGGTTAAATAACATTCCTGGGGGGCTGGAGAGAGCACAGCGGGTAGGGCGCTTGCCTTGCACGCGGCTGACCCAGGTTCGATTCCCAGCATCTCATATGGTCCCCTGAGCACCACCAGGAGTGATTCCTGAGTGTAGAGCCAGGAATAACCCCTGAGCATCGCTGGGTATACTCAAAAAGCAAGAAAAAAAAAACAGGGAATGCTTGATGGAAGAGGAAACATTTGATCCTCCCAAGGTGTAGTGAAATTGTCATGATAATAGCTGAGATTTAATAAGTGCCTAACCCTTTTCTGTTAATTTGCTTGTTAATATTTATTTTTCGGTGGTGCCAGGACTTGAACCCAAGGCTTTTACACATGCAAGGAAAGGACTGTACCACTGAACAACATCCCAGGCACTATGGCTCATTGATTTTGACCATAATCCTTCAGGTGGTCACTTTCATTATCAGACGATTTCTAGGAGGCAAATGAGGCACAGATGGGTTAAATAACATTCCTGGGGGGCTGGAGAGAGCACAGCGGGTAGGGCGCTTGCCTTGCACGCGGCTGACCCAGGTTCGATTCCCAGCATCTCATATGGTCCCCTGAGCACCACCAGGAGTGATTCCTGAGTGTAGAGCCAGGAATAACCCCTGAGCATCGCTGGGTATACTCAAAAAGCAAGAAAAAAAAACAGGGAATGCTTGATGGAAGAGGAAACATTTGATCCTCCCAAGGTGTAGTGAAATTGTCATGATAATAGCTGAGATTTAATAAGTGCCTAACCCTTTTCTGTTAATTTGCTTGTTAATATTTATTTTTCGGTGGTGCCAGGACTTGAACCCAAGGCTTTTACACATGCAAGGAAAGGACTGTACCACTGAACAACATCCCAGGCACTATGGCTCATTGATTTTGACCATAATCCTTCAGGTGGTCACTTTCATTATCAGATGATTTCTAGGAGGCAAATGAGGCACAGATGGGTTAAATAACATTCCTGGGGGGCTGGAGAGAGCACAGCGGGTAGGGCGCTTGCCTTGCACGCGGCCAACTAGGGTTCAATTCCCAGCATCCCATATGGTCTTCTGAGCACCGCCAGGAGTAACTCCTGAGTGCAGAGCCAGGAGTAACCCCTGTGCATTGCCGGGTGTGACCCAAAAAGCAAAAAAAAAAAAAAAAAAAAAAGAATTCCTGGGGCATTAAGCTAGTAATTGATCGAGCAAGAATTCAGGCACTTTGATTGCAGAGGTCTGTGAGAGAGCTGTGAGGAGCGTAAGGGGGTGGTAGATGGTATGTGTGCTTTTCCATTATATGGTAGGGTTTGAACTTTTAGAAATACAATGAAATGTAGTAGTTTAACAGTCCAGGCGGTGGGAATAAAATAACAAAATTCTGAAAGGTGGAGAGCATGGCGAACCTTCTGTAACAGGAGTGAATGTTGAGGTAGATGGTTCAGATAGGATCTGGGTTTGATTCCTAGTGCTGCTAAAAAAAAATTAGGAGGTTGGCAGGGCAGAAGGGAAAAAGAAAGAAATGAAGAAAGGGAAAAAGATGAGTAAAGTAAGATCTTAGATTATGCCTTTTTGAGGGACTGTTGCCTACCCAGGTTAAATCCCCAGCATCCCTTATGGTCCCCTGAGCATCACAGGAATGATCCCTGGCTGCAGAACCAGGAGTAAGCTCTGAGTACAGCCAGAAGTTGCTCAAACAAAACCTATGCTTATAGAGACTTATGGGTGAACAGATCTACAACAAAGTAGTGGGTAAGTCAGGTGTGTTAAATATGATGTGGTATGCTGTCGGGAAGTTATGTGCCAAATCCAAGTCGTTCTCAGATCCTCTGGGGATTTTAGCACATACACAGATTACTGGGCCTCAGCTCTGGAGTACTGATTTGTAGGGTGCTGCACAGATTATTGTGAACCTGGTGAAGAATTCAGTGTACAACCTGAACACAATAAGCAGACAACTTGGTAATAGTAGTAGTAGCTGTCATTTTTCGCTTGTATTATGGTTGTAGGTAGTCTACCTAATTTCTGATAACAACTCTTTTAAGGGGTAGGTTCTCATATTATTCCTACCTTTCAGATGTGGAAATAGTCATTAAGAATTATTTAGTATGCAGAGCAAGGATCTGAACCTTTCATCTCCTTCATCATTTTATTCTATTCTATTACGCCGCTATTGTTTATATCAGTATTTGTGGTTTTTGAATTTGATGCTAGCTGCTCACAGCTCTCCCTACTAAAGTTCCTAGTGATTTCACTTTAGCTCTTGGTTTTAGAAAAGCAAAACATAGATGAATTCTCATCTACCCTCTCAGGGTTTCATAAAGGAAAGCTTAAAAGGAGAATTGTGGCTTGGCCATAGAAATGTTTTTCAAATTTGATGGCAGACCTGAGACTTGATGCCTTGGTTTCCAGTCTTGGACTTCTTAACAGCAGGACAGAAAAGCCTTCCTCCTAGAGCCCACATGAAGCTTTGCCTGTGTCAGGTTCGTCCCCATCTGTCCTCCTGATGCCGAAGCTCCATCCCATGCGTCCTTACCGTGTTTCTTGTGCTCATCCACTTGTGGTTGATAGATGGTGAAGAGACAGCAGGGTTGATGAGAGACAGGCCTGGGCAGCAGTGGGCCGTAGATGAAAAAAGATGCACGGGGCAGAGGTGGAGTGATGAAAGCTTTGAGCTCAGGGGTGTGAAATGTGAACCTGATGCCGACATCTAGTGGGGAGCTGGGGCACCACAGCGGCAGAGGTGCTGTCATGAGGCCAGTGAGTAATTTTAGCAATAATATTTTAGATGTGACTTAGGGATCAGCATATCAGTGATGTCTTTCCTTCCCTCTCCTTCCCCCACCCCCCACTCTCTTTTTTAATTCTCCTTTCCTCTACCCTCTTTTTCTCCATCTCTTCTCTTCCCTGAGTTAACCTTGTTTCACTGTGATTTTCCTAACAGCTCTGAGATAAACCTGAGAACTGTGTTGCCTTGGGGAACTCACCCCTAACACTCCCATGCTTTATTTTAGGCTCCTTTTATGTTCTCTCTCTCCTCCCCTCCTTCTTCCTCCCTCTTTCTCCCTCTCCCTCTTTCCCTCTCCCTGTCTGTCTGTAGGTCTGTCTGTCTGTCTGTCTCTCTCTCTCATTCTTTTCTTTTTCTTTCTTTTTGGAGGGGGGCAGTGAAGGGTCCCCATACCCAACTGTGATCAGGGCTTACTTTAGGCTCTGTGCTCAGAGATCATTCCTGGTTGTACACTTGGGGGATCAATCATATGCGTTGCTGGGGATAGATCCTTGGTCAGTTGTATGTAAGGCAGATTTCCTTATCTGTTATCTTTCTAGTCTTTAGTGCTTTTTAAAAAAATTTATTTTCATTAAGTTCACAATAATAGATTACATTCAATATTTTGACACCAGTCCCACCATTATTTTGAACTTACTTGCCACCATGCAAACCTGCTGAACCAGGCAGATGCTAGATAATTTATTTTGTATTGCTTGTTATGAATAGTTTAAGATGTGGCATGGCCATGAGAGCGGCCGCGCACTCCTAGAATTCTAAAATTTTAGATAATTAGGGTCTGGAGAAATCCCTGCAGCAAGCTGCTCCCCGTTCCTTATCCCTTGAGACCCGGAGTTTACAGTCACTGCTCCTGCATACCTGGACTTGTCATTGGGTTCTGGAAGTTGGCAGCTGCCGGGATTCCTAGGGGGCAGGTGGTGCAACAATGCCTGCTCCACGTGAGGCACCCTGGTGAAATCGGCCTGGTGCAAGGTCGGGAGGCATCTCGGCAGCAAGCTGCTCGGTTCTGAGATTCTTTTGGGTCGTCGTCTTTAGTGCTTTTTAAAAGTGTATTTTCAGAGTAGCTAGGCAAGTCATCATCACAGCTGATTTAGAACATTTACAGCATCAATCTCTTCTTTCTCACCACACCTGGCAGTGCTGAGGGCCACTCCCACTCTATGG